TATACCTGTGTGATGTGTGTATATACATGTGTGATGTGTGTGTATACCTGTGTGATGTGTGTATATACCTGTGTGATGTGTGTATATACATGTGTGATGTGTGTGTATACCTGTGTGATGTGTGTATATACCTGTGTGATGTGTGTGTACCTGCAGACTGTTGTTGCCCACAGCTGTAGCTCTCCTCAGGCGCCTCCTGTTGGTGGTCTGCAGTCCCTCCTCCAGCAGCAGAGCCAGACGTCTCTCCAGACGAGCTTTAAAACTTCTCTCAGTCACCTGCTGCTCCTGAACCCCCAACAGAACTGAAACACACCAACACACCCACGCAGACTACAGTCAGCTCTGCTGTTGCTCTAACAACAATAACAATAATCCATCTCAGTGTTACGGAGGTTAGTAAAGTGGAAGAACACCAACCATCTGTCTCCACACAATCCCAAACTATCTGTACTGAAGGTGGGCGGTGCCCAGGTGTGTCCTCACCTGTACGGACCCAGGTGGAGCGCAGGTGGTGGGACGTGTTCAGCTCAGGGTAATGGAATGCTGTAACACAAACATGTCACATGTTTAACACCTGAGCAGAGTGAGACCTGTTCATGTGTGGTAAACACCTGACCTACACTCCTTTAACACATGATGTACACAGGTAACAACAAACTCTGTGTGCTTGTGTGTGTGTGTGTGTGTGTGTGTGTGTGTGTGTGTGTGTGTGTGTGTGTGTGTCTGTCGTACGTTCTGCGATCTGCAGGACAGGATATCCTACATAGAAGCTGAACTCAACCAGGCTGAGCTTCCTCAGGTGTTCGCTGGCCTCTGACCCCGGCAGGAAGTCCCGCCCATCACGCACCGCAAAGACGATGTCGACGGAAACCTTCTGTTCTGCTGCCGCCAGCCGGGTTCCCATGGTGATGTTCAACAGCTGGAGGAGACACACGGACGTACAGCCGCTGAAACTCATCACAGTTTTATAGGTTCTGTTACCTGTTTAAATCCAACAGGTAACAGACTCACCTGTATCTACCATTTTTTCTCCCGTTAAAGTTTTTTTTTGGGAGTTTTTCCTGATCAGCTGTGAGGGTCATAAGGACAGAGGGATGTCGTATGCTGTAAAGCCCTGTGAGGCAAATTGTGATTTGTGATATTGGGCTTTATAAATAAAATTGAACTTGAAAATGAAACTGTACGGAGACGTTAAGTATAAACAGGAAACAGACTCACCTGTACGATGACATGTTACCTATGAACAGGTGACTCACCTGTATGGTGACATGTTAACTATGAACAGGTTACAGACTCACCTGTACAGTGACGTTACTATAAACAGGAAACAGACTCACCTGTACGGTGACATGTTAACTATGAACAGGTTACAGACTCACCTGTACAGTGACGTTACTATAAACAGGAAACAGACTCACCTGTACGGTGACATGTTAACTATAAACAGGTGACTCGCCTGTACAGTGACATGTTAACTATGAACAGGTGACTCACCTGTACGATCGCATGTTAACTATAAACAGGTGACTCACCTGTACGGTGACATGTTAACTATAAACAGGTTACAGACTCACCTGTATGGTGACGTTACTATAAACAGGAAACAGACTCACCTGTACGGTGACGTTAACTAAAAACAGGTTACAGACTCACCTGTACAGTGACGTTACTATAAACAGGTGACTCACCTGTATGGTGACATTTCCTGCCTCATGCGATCGTTTCCGGGTCTCGCTGTACGCCATCACCAGCCCTCTCTCGACTCGTTCACTGAAGTTACAGACTCTGACGTCGACGTGGGCGGGGACAAACTGCAACACAGAGTGGATCTGGTACCTGAGGTCAGGTACGGTGTAGAGCGGTGACACGGTGGGGATGGGGCCGAAGCTGCGTGGCTGCTGGCGGAGGGCGTTGATGACGGACATGGCGGTGAAGATCAAAGATCCCGACACGACACGGAAGGCAAAACTGGATGGAGTTCTCAGGAACTGATGAGGCAGCAGAAAGGTGACAGACAGCTGTCAATCATGTGACATCATACAGTTATACATGTGACATCATCAAGGTGAGTTGAAGCTGTGTTCAGAGCTATAATGAAGACTCAGGACGACAGGTGAGAATAATTAACCAATATTTAAACCAGAGACCAGAAACAACAACAGTAATGAAATGACCTAACACAGGGTTATGTGATAGGGCTTTTTAGTGGAGGTGGTGTCTGTGGAAGTGGGGGTGTCTGTGGAGGAGTCGATTTCTGTGGAGGTGGAGGTGACTGTTGTTGAGGAGGTGGTGTCTGTGGAAGTGGGGGCGTCTGTGCAGGAGTCGATTTCTGTGCAGGTGGAGGTGACTGTTGTTGAGGAGGTGGTGTCTGTGGTGGAGGTGGTGGAGGAGGTGGTATCTAATGCTGTGGAGGTGTTTGTGGTAGAGAAATTGAAAGTGATGGAAGAGGCGATGTCGGTGGAGATGGAGGCGGAGCCTGTACCTGCAGCTCGACAGAGCGGTTGAACTCTTTCTTCAGCAGATCTCTGACCTGACTGAATCCAGCTGACGAACCTTTGGAGCTGACTGAAGGACAGAAGAAGAAGAAGAGATCAGGTGACCTGCTCAGGTGACTCAGCAGCACTTCCTCTTCCTGTCACACAACCTACTCACCTACTCTGACCAGGTACATCTCTGGCTTGGTGACATTACACAGGTACTGTCTGGTGGGCGGCGTCTGGGCCACTCTGGGTGTAGTGACTGGGGGGGCTCTGGTCAGGCTGATGGCAGTGATCTGGGTGGTGGTGGTGATGGTGGTGGTGGTGGTCGTCGCCTTGGTGGTGGTGATCCTGGTGGGGGTAGCCTTCACTGGCTTGTCTGTGACCACTGCAGGCCTCTCCGGTCTGTCAGGACGGGTGGGCGGTCCTAGTGGGGGAGGGGGAGGCACCCGGCCGGTAGTGTTGGAAGGGGGACGCGGAGGGTGTTGGCCCGGGACGTGGTCTTTGGGTTTGGAAGGAGGAGGAGTCGAAGGGGCTCTGATGGTGGTGGAGGGTGGAGGTGGCTCCTCTTCATCCTCGCCTGTAAGAGTAGGTGAGAGGGTGAGGGGAGGGGTGGGTCCCTCTGGGGGACGCTTGGGCTCCCTACCTGGAGGAGGACCAGAGCTCGGGGACGGAGATGGGGATGAAGGGGGGAGGTAGGTTTGGGTTGTTGTGGAAGTGATGGGGGGTTTGGAGTCGGTCTGGTTGACCCAGTCCTTTTCCCTGTCTCTGTCCCTGTCCCGCTCCCTGTCCCTGTTCTGGTCTCTGTCTCTGTCCCGCTCCCGTTCCCTCTCCCGGGCCAGCAGGTTGGTGTAGTACTCCATACTGTTCATGTCCGGCAGCAGCAGTTCCGTCGGCTCTAGAGGCATCATGTCTTCAAGGTCGTAGTCCTCGTCCCAGTTGGGGAAGACATCTGGATGGGTGGGGCGAGTGTGCAGGGTGATGCTGGGGGTGGAGGAGGAGGGTGAAAGAGGAAGGCGGGAAGATAGGGGGATGGTGGGACGAGCAGGGAAGGCAGTGTCGTAGGAGACCCAGTCTCCCCCTACGTCGTCGTAGGGGTGGTTGGGCAGCGGTGTGGCCAGGGCCAGCTCCTCGCCGTCAGGCACCATGAAGGACAGAGTCTCCAGGTAGTCTCCAGAGCCCCAGGCCTCCTCCAGGGAGGGGCCCTGCTCCCAGGGGGGAGGTGGGGTGAGGGTGGGCTGGGTGTGTGGGGGCAGGGGTGGGGGGAGGCTGGGGGACAGGAGGTCTGGAGGTCTCAGCAGGAGGTGGATCCCCTGAGCACCAGAGTCTGAGTCCTCTGCTGAGCCTGTGCCACCGCTGTCACCATGGTAACCGGAGTCTGATAGGGGGCTGGCGGCCGGAGGTCTGATAAGGGAGGAGGAGGGTAATGACGGATGCGATGAAGACTCCGTCGTCCTGTTGAAGTCCAGCACACCTGTGAGACAAAGACAGGGATTAAATATCTCTACATTAACTACTGTCCCGGATGAACACCAAGGACCCTGACCAACACTGAGGACCCTGACCAACACCGAAGACCCTGACCAACACTTAGGACCCTGACCAACACTTAGGACCCTGACAAACACTGCGGACTCTGACAAACACTGAGGACACTGACCAACACTGAGGACCCTGACCAACACTTAGGACCTTGACCAACACTTAGGAACCTGACCAACACTGAGGACCCTGACAAACACTGAGGAACCTGACCAATACTTAGGACCTTGACCAACACCTAGGAACCTGACCAACACTGAGGACCCTGATCAACACTTAGGACATTGACCAACACTGAGGACCCTGACAAACACTGAGGACTCTGACCAACACTTAGGACACTGACCAACACCGAGGACCCTGACAAACACTCAGAACCTTGACCAACACTGAGGAACCTGACCAACACTTAGGACCTTGACCAACACGGAGGAACCTGACCAACACTGAGGACCTTGACCAACACTGAGGACTCTGACCAACACTGACGATTCTGACTAACACTTAGGACACTGACCAACACTGAGGACTCTGACCAACACTTAGGAACCTGACCAACACTTAGGACTCTGACCAACACTTAGGAACCTGAACAACACTGATGACTCCGACGAACACTTAGGACACTGACCAACACTGAGGACTCTGACGAACACTGAGGACCTTGACCAACACTGAGGACCTTGACCAACACTGAGGACCCTGACCAACACTTAGGATGTTGACCAACACTGAGGACTCTGACCAACACTTAGGACCTTGACCAACACTGAGGACCCTGACCTACACCTAAGAACCTGACCAACACTGAGGACTCTGACCAACACTGACAACTCTGACCAACACTTAGGACCTTGACCGACACTGAGGAACCTGACCAACACTTAGGACCTTGACCAACACTGAGGAACCTGACCAACACTTAGGACTCTGACCAACACTGAGGACCTTGCCCAACACTTAGGACCTTGACCAACACTGAGGAACCTGACCAACACCGAGGAACCTGACCAACACTTAGGAACCTGACCAACACTGAGGACTCTGACCAACACTGAGGAACCTGACCAATGATGAAGACCCTGATCAGATGTTGAACCACCTCAACATGAAGGAGCAGCGGCTCTACTCAGAGCTCCCTCCAGATGTCTGACTCCTCCCCCTATCTCTAAGGCTGAGCCCAGACACCCTAAAGAGGAAACTCAATTCAGACGCTTGTATCTGTGACCTCATTCTTTCAGTCACTACCCAGAGGTCATGACCATAGGTGAGGGTTGGGACGGAGATGGACCAGGAAATCAAAAGCTTTGCCCTCTGGCTCAGCTCTCTCTAAACCACGGTGGTCCGGCGCAGCACCCACATCATACCGCACCAAACCACCGATTTACCTCATGCTCCATTTTAACAGAACACGTTCAGCTTCAAAAAGCAGAGATGAAATTCTGAGGTCCCCAAACCAGACCCCTTCCTCCCCCCGGCTGCACCTTCAGTTCCTGTCCATGAATATAACAAACAGGATCAGAGACAAGGGAAGATGCTGGAAGAGGAACAACACCCACTGAGAACATGTCTGACTTTGTGCTTAGTATTCAGACACAGCTCTCAGTTTGGTTATACAGGGACGGGATGTCTCATATCAATAACCCCCGTACCCCGTAATCCTGCAGTACCCCCCACAGGACTCTCTGGTTTGTAAGCTTTGTCCAAGTCCACAAAACATATGTAGACTGGATGGACAAACTCCCAGGACCCCTCTGTTCCACAACCAGGACAGAGTCCACACTGCTCTTCCTGAAGGTTGGAGCCTCCTCTCCAGAATAAACTGTCCTATATAGGCTGATCAGTGAGACGCTCCAACAGCAGCAGCATACCTCTTCCTTCCTCACAGAGGAAATGACAAAACAAAACTCAGGAGATAAATAAAGAATAGAAGAAGAACAGCTGAAAGGAGAAACTGAAAATGAGGCCAGAGTTTGGGACACATAAAGATAAATCTGTAATAAAACAACATCAGTATTTCCTGTTAATATGAATCTGAGCTGATCAGAGTTCAGATGGTCACATGACTCATCACACAGCGACCTCCTTCTTCTTCTCTGCCTCTTTTTTCTGTTTCCTCTGCAGTCTCTTTAAACCTATTTGTCTTTGTGTCATCACACACATACACACACGCACACACACACACACAGCCTTCACTGAGCCTCTCTCATGTGCTGCTGGCCTTGTTGCCGTGGTGACGCTGTGCTTTGCGGCAGCATCACGTGCTGAACGGAGACGAGTCATTGGTATTCAGGAGGCGACGCCCTCAAATACACAGAGAGATGATGATGGATGGATGGATGGATGGATGGATAGATAATAGATAGATGATATCGAGCACAAACAATATAATAAAAATATTTAAAGATATATATTGTTTGAAGAATCTGCCTGACATGACAGCGCTCTGCAGGACTGTTATCTCCTGGTTGAACATGTGATTTAAATATCAGATGAATTAATGTGGTTAATCATTATCATTAGGATTAAAGTGCACGTCTTCACATAAGTAAAGTTAATTAAGATTGTAAACCTGCGGGCGACTCATCGACTAATGGACCTAAATGATGACTGTTGGTCCACTGGGAAAAATTCTTATTTGGGGGGGCAGGAGCCTCGTAGGAACTCTACATACATCCACATACTGCGCCGACATGTTCTCAGTCCATCTCATCAAACACTGCTGCTTCCTCAGCCGACCTAAACATCAAACTGTGACTATCTGATTCCCTCCTGCATCAGTTGTTGACGTTCTGGGACGCCATGTCAACTTCAGCCTGTTACATGCATTGTCTGTTTTCAAAATACACTTCTGTTTTCACAGGAAATGTACAGTTTGCATACAGTCTCTTTCAAAATAAAAGCACTACGTCAGTACAACACCACCAACTGATGTTTCTTTCCTTCAACAACACACACGTGGTTACGTTTAGCCGACACACACATGTGGTTACGTTTAGCCGACACACACACATGGTTACGTTTAGTCGACACACAAACGTGGTTACGTTTAGCCAACACACACACACACACGTGGTTACGTTTAGCCAACACACACGTGGTTACGTTTAGCCAACACACACACATGCGGTTACGTTTAGCCGACACACACATGTGGTTACGTTTAGCCGACACACACATGTGGTTACATTTAGCCAACACAAACACACACGTGGTTACATTTAGCCGACACACACACAAACACACATGGTTACGTTTAGCCGACACACACACGTGGTTACATTTAGCCAACACACACACAAACACACATGGTTACGTTTAGCCGACACACACACGTGGTTACATCTAGCCAACACAAACACACACGTGGTTACATTTAGCCGACACACACACATGGTTACGTTTAGCCGACACACACACGTGGTTACGCTTAGCCAACACACACACGTGGTTACGTTTAGCCAACACACACACACACACACATGGTTACGTTTAGCCGACACACACACGTGGTTATGTTTAGCCGACACACAAACGTGGTTACGTTTAGCCAACACACACACGTGGTTACGTTTAGTCGACACACAAACGTGGTTACGTTTAGCCAACACACACACACACATGGTTACGTTTAGCTGACACACACACGTGGTTACGTTTAGCCAACACACACACGGTTATGTTTAGCCTACACACACGTGGTTATGTTTAGCCAACACACACGTGGTTACGTTTAGCCGACACACACACGTGGTTACATTTAGCCAACACACACACGTGGTTACATTTAGCCAACACACACACGGTTATGTATAGCCGACACACAAACGTGGTTACGTTTAGCCGACACACACACGTGGAACATTAACATTTAAAGAATGTCCAGATGGAACTGTTGATAGGAGCAGCGTTCTCTGAAGGTTCTATTTCTGAAATAACATCACATCAACACAAAGAGCTCCGAGCTAGCATAGCGTCTGATGCTAACACTAACAGTTAGCCTCGACCAGGTGTTCAGACTGAGTCAGTCTACCTGTGACCGACTCACTGATTCACTTCAGACCAGTCTGGGTGGTAGAGGACAGGAAGGACACCTGTGTCCAACATCCAGCAGCTTTACTAAGACCCTGACCCCTGAGACAGAGTCTGCGTTCACACAGGACTGTGTGTGTGTGTGTCACAGCAGCCAATAACAGCACAGGCAAACTTCACATCTTCTTATAAGGAACTTCCTGTTTCCTGCAGGTAGCTCAGAGGTCACACAACAACCACTATGACCAAAAGTATGTGAATGTCCTGCGTCTGAGTCCTTTAACCGTCAGACCTGATGTGCTGTTTTTCTCTCTGATGACTTACTCCAGAAACACTGGAGCCTACGTTTCCCATGATGCACGTGGGTGGTGTCTTTCATCAGAGTCAGAGGAGGACTAACCAGGACAACTTACCTGCAGCAGGTGAGCTTGATGTCACCATGGAAACCAGCATGCCGGCCACCAGCAGGATCCCACCGAGTGTGCGTCTGCACGCTGAGGTTCTGGGCTCCATCCTGCTCCTGGTCCTGGTCTTGGAGGTGGGGCCCGGCGGGATTACAGGGTCCATCGTCCTCAAAGGGCCGCCGCTCTGATCCCAGTACAGAGAGCCGAGGGCCCGTCAGGAGGACCTGGACCACAAGAGGGACAGTCAGCTCAAGGTTCAGGTCTCTGAGGGAATACTGACTTGATTTGATTTAATCAGACACAAGAGGAACCACAGAGAACATGGAGGACATGGAGGACATGGAGGACACGGGAGTACATGGAGGACATGGAGGACACAGAGGACACGGAGAACATGGAGGACACAGAGGACACGGAGAACATGGAGGACACAGAGGACACGGAGAACATGGAGGACACGGAGAACATGGAGGACACAGAGGACACGGAGAACATGGAGGACACGGAGAACACGGAGGACATGGAGTCCTGTTCTCTGGAGTTTTGACTTTGACTCATTAAACCAACAGACATGTGAAACGATGCCTTCAGGTTCAAACTCTAGCTGCAGTAACACACAGACACTGTGGAAACATTCTGTGATATAAATTATTAAAGTGACAAAAATAAATGAAACTTATGTTATGATATAATCAGCTGTTCTTCAGTCCATCAGATACATTTTACTGCTGTTAATAAAAATGTGATGAACAGACTGAAACTTTATTAATTAAAACACATGTTGACCCAGATTTAAAAACAGGAAACACATCACTGTTTTATCACAATCTCAACACATTTAAAATCACAATAATATCGTACTGTGATAAAATCTTATTGTGAAGAACCATTTACATTTATCACACAAACAATCAATTCATATATATATATAAATATT